AATTGTTCGGTACAATTATATTTCTCAGTTATAAATTAATACAAGTGCAATTTTACAAATTCAAATAACGTTTGAAAGGAAAAAATTCCTAGGACAACTGTGTATGTAGCAATTCTTGTGCTCTAATTAATGTAAATGAAAACACTATCACAAGTTAAAGTACTGGTTTTCGATAAATTCAACCATTCGCGTGATTGTTCTTGCACTTAATTTATTTGCACGTATCGAAGCATTGTTACATGTGCTGTTAAAGGCTGCCTGAACTTGCTGTATAATTGTTTTGTTAATTCGGATACTATAAATGCACATTCCTCGAAATGCATCGCGTAACAACTAAGGCACTATCATATATATACGTGTATGTATGTAAAGTTCGTTTGTTTAATTGAAAGCACCATTCGCACGATTTTAATGGAACGTGTACGATTCGTCAAGAAGCAGATCACGTGTGCGTATAAAAAAGAACTTTGAGTATTTAAGTAATTACGATGTAAAAAGATCTTCCAAAGCGTGGACGGTTGTGTTCGATAAAATCATACTTCGTTAAGGAATTTTCTATTATTCGACGCCTGTGCGAGATGAATACAAAGTACAAATTATGAAAATATAAAGTGTAACGTCATTAAAAGCTACTTTACACGCTTATAACTTTCGTACTCTACACATACGGCTTGCAGTTTTAAGTTTAAAAAAAAAACAAGCGGTTAATTTACAATTATCTCCTAAACGTTAATAATAGAAAAAAGAAAGAAAATATGGAATTCTTAACAGAGAATGTACATAACGTTTGCACTTAATTTTTACGTAGATTGCGGTATAAAATGCAGTTCAATGCAGATATTATAAAAAATATTTTTCACACAAGGTCCTAACGTAGGCGCTAGCAAGGAACTCGAACATCAACTGTTTTTTCAGATTACTGCAATTTATAACAAATTATTTTACGAACAAACTCTCTTTTCACGTAGGAAATTCATTTTTCTTCGTTCAATGAAATTATATAAAATTACGAACAATGATCAAATGTAAAATTACGAATGTGACGAATAAATACTCTAAATGCTAACAATGAAATATCACCCTCAATATTTCAATCGATCTCGATAAATTCTCACATTGTGCACGATATCATCGTATAAAAATAAACGAACATCCGAACGATGGAATTCCTACCTTTTACTCAATTATGAACAAACTCGTATCATCTCATTATAGTGTAAAAGGAACTTTCTTTATCTTATCCACATTTATTCTGAATTTCTATGTTGTCATTCTTTTGTCAATTCTTTCAAATAAACTTTGCATTCATTTATTTTTTAATTCAACACATTACCAGTTTCAAAAGTCCACTGTTTTATGAGTGACAATATACCAAGGTATTCACACACTCTATTTTATCCCTCGGCAAGGGACAAACAGAACACACGATAGTAATGAACTTAAAATAAAAGTCGAAATTATAAATAAAAAATCAATTTAGAATTCCAGAAAAATTGCACTAAAAGAACAACCAAATAGAAACAGGACAACGTGATCAGACAGAAAGACCCTCTACGTATATCAAAATGATACCTGCATCACACTAATTCCAACCACAGGTCAGACTATTCACATCACCCAGTCCGAACATAAATGAGCTCCACATCTCATCAAGGTCCTGTTCACGTCACTGTACCTACACGATACTCTGAGATACCCTAGCTAGGTAACAATATAGTGATCGTATCAAGGGACTGTTCCTGATCCTGTATCTCTGAGTCCTGTTGCAACTGTTGTTGCTGCTGTTGCTCCTGTTGCTGTCGAGCCGTCTGCTTGGCGTGCGTTTTGAGATGCGAGTTGAGCATCGTTTTCGAGGCGAACGACTTATGGCAACAGGTGCAGGGATAGGGTCGGTCGCCGGTGTGGCCCCTGAGGTGCACCACCAGAGTGGTTCGCTGAGTGAACCGTTTCTCGCAGTGGGTGCATTTATGTGGTCTCTCGCCTGTGTGGGTGCGTCGGTGGACGCTCAGATAATTCTGTGAGATGAATCCTTTGCCGCAGAGGTCGCAGATGTGCGGTTTTTCGCCGGTGTGTTTGCGTAGGTGCACGGTCAGGTAGGTCTTGCTGGACACGGCCTTGCCGCAGACGGGACAGACGTACTCTTTCTGAGGTCCCACGTTTCCGTGGGTCTTCATGTGTACCAGCAACACCTGTTTCCTGGAGAAACGCTTGTTGCACAACTCGCAGTGATGCTTCCTTTGGGGCGGCACGTAGTCCGGTTGGTGCAGCTTCGCGTGCAGCCTCAGACCCTGACGATAACGGAACGTGGCGTTGCAGATGTCGCATTGAAAGGGTTTTTTGTTGGTGTGCATCGATTGGTGCTCTTCGTAAGTGTCCTGCGAGACGAAGCTGGCACCGCAGATCTCGCATTCGTACTTGTAGTCGATGTTGTGCCGTTTCTGGTGAGCGATCAAGCTCTCTCTGTGCTCGGTGACGAAACCACACGTCTCGCAACTGTACGCATCGTCCGTTTCGTGTTCCAATTGGTGGTCGGACAACTCGGCCGCAGTGACGAAACTGCAACCGCAATGCTCGCAAACTAAATGATCGTCTTGGACGGGAACCTCCTCCTCTTCGTGGATTTTTAGGTGCAGAGCGAGAGCTTGTTCCGTTATGAAACCGTCTCCGCAGAGGTGGCATTGAATGATATCGTCGGCGATGATCACCTCTGCGTTCTCCACCTTAGGCACGTGCAAACTGTCATCCGTGATGAGCAGCTCTTCTGTCTCTTCCTGACCGAATATCTCGTTCGCCCCGCATTCCTGCTCTTCATCCTGAGGTAGCATCTCAAGCTTTGACACAAAATATCTGGAAAGAAGAGAGACACAAACGGCGGTCAATCGATAGTTGAATTCATACTCGATCGTTATACTGTACTCTTTCCGTTTAAGGGACGTTCGGATCTTTTAGCAGATTTTTGCGGGGACAATTTTGGTCAAACACCCGTGAACATCTTTACGAAATTAAACACATTTATAGAAGTGCCTCGGTGCTTTCCAGTATTTTCTTTATTCTCTGTATTTAAATGTCTTCTCGCTATAAATTGTTCTTAAAACAGCGTGTTTTAAAAATATGCAGTTCAGGAATATATTATTTAGTCTAGCTATAAAATGTAATAATATACTGCTGAATAATGTTTCTCGATTAATCGAGTATCTTTCACAGTGGTCGTTTTTTAAATAATTTATATCATATTCCTGATTATAAGACTTGTGTAAATGGGCAGTAATTGAAAAAAAATATGAAAATAATTGATGAAGCTGCGTTGTATTTTCTGACAGAAAAAATATTAAATATTCAACTAAGTGTACATAAACGCATAATTATTTTATTAAGTGCAATTATACTTTTCGTCGATAGCAATCTCTGTTGCACACTTACCAACATGATGTACTGTTTTACCGACGGTTTCACAAGGAAGAATCCGCCATCTTGGATTTATCCACACGAATTACATATCAAACATATATTTACCACATCAGTTTTGGGAAAGAAAAACAAATTTTGAATGCGAGATTGCACCATTAATATTGCTAGATTTTTAAACTGAATATTTGAATAAAAAAAGACACTCGTCGAATACTTCGTGTCAAAATACGATTTTTATTTACGAAAACCTAAATTTTTATCTAGATTTGCATCGCAGCAGAAAAGCTTGAAAATAAAACTTAAATAATAACGATAATACTGTACCTTTGTTGAGTACGCGCAGATAACGAAATACTAATGAATCATTAATTAAAAATGGTTAAAAAATTGTCCAATAACATTGAAAACTTTAATTAGACGAAAAATTACATTCAGGAGTGATAAAATTCATAGAAATTCTTCGGTAACGATCACGTCCAACGATTAATCACAACTATGTTTAATAATATTAGTAGCAAAGATCTTTGACGAGATTACATAGAAATATTTAAGCGTCTTCATACTTACGTCTTATGATATTCATGTAACATGTAATAACCCTGTACTTACATTAATCAGAGGCACATGAATTCATCGTTAAGGCCGAAATGCTAGTTATTTCTATCTATAGATTCAACTGAAAAATGCCTAAAATATCGTACGATAATCGTATACTAATATTTCTCTATCTGTTTTAACATTTCGTAAACATCAAATAATTTCTAAATACGCAATTTACTTACAATTATCTTTCCTATTTAGAACATCTTTTTTCCCTTCCTATCGATTAAAAATTCTCAAAAATTCTATCTTTTAGGCACATTTAAAACTTAGCTCGTTACACAGGTACTAATTTTAATTGTAGCTAATTTCGCGGACCGAATCTCCATACTACATAATTATCCTATCCGTTGAATGTACGAACGAACAATATCACAGTGACGACATGCACGTTACACGCAAGATTAATGAATTACCATTGTTTCTTCTCATAGACTTCTATAGTTAACAATTAACAAATGTTTTAACTTAAAAACGCAATAAACTTTGCAAAACTATCAACGCAATAATATTAACAAAATCCTATTACGCATCATAAGGTAATAAGGCTATCTACTTAATTATAATCAACCTTCAGGCACTTTATCCGTTTTCAATAATCAATAATCAGAACAAATTCAAAGAACTCTAAGTTGTCCTAAATTATTTCCTATCGAAATAAAGAGCATTAAGTTGTACTAAAAATTTTGTTACAACTAACTCAACTTTAATTTTACGACCAAATCAGTAGCTGGCACATTTCTATGTGCTTCTCATACGTGATGGGCACGCAACTATGTTCGCGAAATTTCTGAGTTGAAATATTTTTTTAAATTTCTAAATTCGTAAATTTTCCAAATTACTCGGACATTAAATTTCCAAATTTCTATATCTCAACTTGAAAATTTGGAATTTCTACACTTTTATTTTCCGTATTTCCTAAATTTTCAAATCTGTAATTTTCAAAATTTGGAAATTTCCGTATTGCTCCAAATTCCTACAAATGACAGATTTCTAAATTTCCTGAAAATCTAATAACTTGATAAACTCGGTATTTCTCTAAATTTCCAGGCAACCAAAATTTCTGAACGTCGAACTTTAGCCCATCACTGCGTCAACCTGTGTGCACCCACGGTGTCTCCTAATGCTTTTTCATGTGATTCAGCATGATGGTTCTGGTGACGAATCCTTTACCACACAAGGTACACGTGTAAGGTCGTTCTCCCGTGTGATATCGCCGATGGACGGTAAGCGTGGAGGCCTGAGTGAATGACTTCCCGCACATGGCACAAAGATACGGTCTCTCCCCGGTGTGAATGCGTTGATGCACCACGTAATACTTGCGATGTGTGAAACCTTTGCCGCAGACGTCGCAAACGAGCGGTCTGGACCTGTGCACAGCCTTATGCGTGGTCAGAGATTCGACCGTCGCGAATTGTTTCGAGCACGAGTCGCACGGATACGAGACAACCGACTTGGACGTCGTCAGGGTGCCGCTAATACTGCTAGTCACCGGATCACCGGAAGAGCCAACGGTGTCGGTGATTCTATTATTCCCTGTTAGCACGGGCTTGTGAGTTTTCGCGTGATGATTGTACAGATTTCGGGTCTCGAAGCGCATCAGACACCTAGGGCAGGAGTAAGGTTTCTCCTGGCCGACCTCGTGCATCCTCCTGTGTCGTTCTAGGAGCGTACGGTAGCGGAAACTGGCCGGACAACGATCGCAGACAAACGTCTTCTCGACGTTGATCGAGGTCGATATCGTCGGGACCGAGGCGCAGGACGTGGCCGGCACCGAGTGAGTCACCTCGTGCATTCTCAGGTGGCTGAGAGCGAAGAAGCTCCGCGAGCAAATGGTGCACGAATATCTCATCGGGTTCTCTATACTGTGCTCGAATTCCGGCAGAGCGGGGTGACTGGTTCTTATATGGTAATTCAGTTTCAGGGTGCTTCGGAATTCGAGGCCGCACGTGGAACAGGGATGGGACTCGGTGACGAACTGCACGTGGTCCATGAGACCCTGGTCGGAACAGATGGATGGCAAGTGGGACGGGATCGTTTGGAACGTCGAGGGCATCATCGATGACTGATTCGAGAACATCGAGTTGTTCTGGAGCAGGGTACAAGTGACGGGCAGACCGGGGTCCCCCGTCTCGGGCGATGGCGAAAGTATCTGACGCAGCATCCCCGATAATCCACCGAAGGTCTCGCTTGCTTCCCTGAAATCGACAAAACCCAAGGACAATGCAGCGGCGAACAATACCGTACGGTGCACATAGCATTGCCATTTGATTCGTTCGGTGGTCTTTTGCTTTCTCCCTTGCAACAGGCGGTGAATAAAGATAGGAAAGCAGAGAGACGAAATACGGGGTGATACGCGACACAAAGAGAATGCCGCTAAACACGCTCAACTGCGCTTCGCCATGAGAGGACATTGTCCCGTGTCAACGATGGCCAACGCGGCCATTGTGTAACCACCCTACGGCGAAATGGTCGAGCTGCATATTTGACGGTACTCGCTTTGTGTCGAACGTATCACCCTGTATTCAACGTTGCGTGATGATTTCTGCAAAAGTGACCGTGTGCAAAGTGCTTGGGCATTGCGATTTTCTCTCCGAGACACAGCGTACACAGTGCGACCAGGGTGCAGAGCTTGAGACAGTTTTGTCGTCATCGTTCTATGTCTTCACGATTTTCTTCAGAAGATCGTAAAGAGTTTACCTTTAAGTTTTCACGGTGTCTTACCTTTTACTTAATATAATTTAGCTGTTAAATAAGAACGTTACGACGAATATTTAGTAGGATTTTATTTATCAGTCACATAAATAGTTTTTTTGATTGAATATATATTTTGCCTTTTTTTTTCTTTCATTTATTCTAATCGTTACAAGTTGAGATGTTAATGTTTTGGCCCTTTATGGAAACGATCCATTCACCTACCTGTAAGTTGACCTTGATTTACTGCATGCAGCGAATAATATTGTGTAACAGATTTAATTATTCAACACATTGACTGCGGCGCTGAAGATGAAAGTTTCATTAGGTAGTTCTTTTTATGCTTAATAAATCTTAACTATTGTTTTCATATATTTTTATTTTCAAAATTTAAGTATTTAATTATTATTTATAGGCAAAAGTATTTCTAATCACATAAATTCCTATGGATGTCAACGTGTTCATGGTCCATGAGACCCTGGTCGGAACAGATGGATGGCAAGTGGGACGGGATCGTTTGGAACGTCGAGGGCATCATCGATGACTGATTCGAGAACATCGAGTTGTTCTGGAGCAGGGTACAAGTGACGGGCAGACCGGGGTCCCCCGTCTCGGGCGATGGCGAAAGTATCTGACGCAGCATCCCCGATAATCCACCGAAGGTCTCGCTTGCTTCCCTGAAATCGACAAAACCCAAGGACAATGCAGCGGCGAACAATACCGTACGGTGCACATAGCATTGCCATTTGATTCGTTCGGTGGTCTTTTGCTTTCTCCCTTGCAACAGGCGGTGAATAAAGATAGGAAAGCAGAGAGACGAAATACGGGGTGATACGCGACACAAAGAGAATGCCGCTAAACACGCTCAACTGCGCTTCGCCATGAGAGGACATTGTCCCGTGTCAACGATGGCCAACGCGGCCATTGTGTAACCACCCTACGGCGAAATGGTCGAGCTGCATATTTGACGGTACTCGCTTTGTGTCGAACGTATCACCCTGTATTCAACGTTGCGTGATGATTTCTGCAAAAGTGACCGTGTGCAAAGTGCTTGGGCATTGCGATTTTCTCTCCGAGACACAGCGTACACAGTGCGACCAGGGTGCAGAGCTTGAGACAGTTTTGTCGTCATCGTTCTATGTCTTCACGATTTTCTTCAGAAGATCGTAAAGAGTTTACCTTTAAGTTTTCACGGTGTCTTACCTTTTACTTAATATAATTTAGCTGTTAAATAAGAACGTTACGACGAATATTTAGTAGGATTTTATTTATCAGTCACATAAATAGTTTTTTTGATTGAATATATATTTTGCCTTTTTTTTTCTTTCATTTATTCTAATCGTTACAAGTTGAGATGTTAATGTTTTGGCCCTTTATGGAAACGATCCATTCACCTACCTGTAAGTTGACCTTGATTTACTGCATGCAGCGAATAATATTGTGTAACAGATTTAATTATTCAACACATTGACTGCGGCGCTGAAGATGAAAGTTTCATTAGGTAGTTCTTTTTATGCTTAATAAATCTTAACTATTGTTTTCATATATTTTTATTTTCAAAATTTAAGTATTTAATTATTATTTATAGGCAAAAGTATTTCTAATCACATAAATTCCTATGGATGTCAACGTGTTCATATCTAAGGACATACATTATAGTTAACATATTATATATGTTAAAATATATATTTATTATGTATAAAAGTTTATAAACAATTTAATTAATAAAAGCTTCGATTATTTCTTAATAGAAATGTTAATTATCTCTTAAGCTTCTCATCAAGGGCCAAAACATATAAAAGATTAACACCTTCACTTGCAATAAAAGTAAACAAAAACAAAAAAGACAAAACTCCTATTTCTGCAGATTTCTATTAAAACTAAATAACGAGTTTAATAAGAATGCCTTTCGCATCTAATCTTAGAAACTATACCTCTCCTTTCCACGTCTTTTAAACTTACAAAAGATTAGCACAAACGGAGGAAGAAATGAAAAGGTTTCTCTACAGCAAACCAACAGAAGGAAGGAAAATAGTTAAGCTGCAAAACTTGGCGAGAAAAAGTTAGAAAAAGCAAACCCTTGCTAGGAATCAGTATTCTTTACTAACGATACAGTATGTTTAGAAATCAGACTAAATTAGTATTACAAGAAAATTTGGATTCTCACCTGTAAAATGACATCCAACGTCCGTGCACTGTCTTCTGATCTTCTTTTGGCACAAACTTCAGCCAACAATTTTCCTTTCGAATATTTCACTCACAATTATAACGCGATAACATCGGAAATACAAACACGTCCAAATAAAACGTGTCAAATAAAAAAATTTGGTCAAAAATGCGTAAAAATTACACACTTTCGAACCGTAATTCGAAACTGTAATCTTGCATAAACGAAGAGGCAATGTTTGATGTTTCCGCATCAAACGATAAAAACAGGAAAATATAAAATGCGCCGTAAAAAAGCTTGCTTCGTTAACAGGCGCACAAAGCAACCTGATTACCCGATACCCGAGTATCGGAAAACAGAAGCAATCATAAAAAGCAGTCTAGTTAATTTTCCACCAGACTGCAAAAAAACGTGAGTTTCAAGCACAACAAATTTTCAGCAAAAAATATGCTGAAGAAGTACTTGAAAGATTCGATACAATCTCGTCTTTTTATATCACGTTAAATGTGAACGTGATAAACGACGACAACAAACAATAAATTTCATCGGATTTATGCTTACAAACTATTGGACAAGAGATATCTTTGATAATAAAAATATAGAAGTAATACTCGCCTTAAAAGGAGACTCTTCAAGTCCTCTTCGTACGTTTCATACGATGATCGTTCTTCGTATCTTCGATGATTTTTTCTCTTCGCATTTATATTAAATCGAAGTAATTTTCGTTTAAAAAAAAAACCACTTGTTCAAACTGGCATCTGAGAAGATTGCCAGCCACAAACGATGCTGATTGAAACCGAGACCGTGGCGCGAACACCACCGTTTATCAGCGGATTTTATGCGCAGTTAACAGAACGATAGCACTTACAAGCTAACCGGTATACTAGTATAACTATATGGTCCTGACGATAATGTAAAAGCGTAGGCATTTGGAAAGCACGAAGACGACAAGAAACGGTATGGTTTGTTTCGTTTTTCTTTTCTCATTTTCGTAATACGAATTATAATACAACTTGGTGATTCTCTTTCGTATGCACCAAGCGCGTCTATCATCGTGACGTTAGCTTACGAAATCATTAGTTTGTGATTTTTTTTGGTCGGCCTTATTGTCGGCCGTGTGCGGCATTTTGTGCCTTCACGTAAGCGTGGGATATTGATACTGACAACATGTAAACATCTGGTTTCCAATTGAACAGAGGGATTAAATACTTACTATTATGTACTAGAAACAAACAATGATTTGCATTCGGATTAAAAGATGACACGTAATAAAGTTTGACAAAATGGACATGTGTTTAGAATCCCTCTGTTCATTTATTATACACGTATCGAATAATAACTAGGATAGAGTTCATTTGAATAGAAGCATGTATGATACATTGAAATGTCTTGTGACACAAGTTTCGGTGATTACGTTAAAACGATTCTTATTGAAATGAACTCCATGTACATGCTATTACATGTAGGAATATTCAAGTATTTTGCAATTTGTTTCATGCAGTGAACGTACTTCTAAAGATCGTATTAAATTTACTATGGGTTGAATAAATGGATTAAATGAATGCTCTTAGTATCGTGACGCTGGATATCAAATTGCAAAATACAGAGAGCCAAAGATGGTTGTGGGGTGTGTATTAACTTACCTCGTAACCTTGCTGCACCTCATTCGATTGAATTAGGTGGCTAACTCTCAAATATTTATTTTGAGATTTAAAAACTAAAATATTACCACACGTGTTTAACTGCATCAATGATTTCAATAAAAAAATATAATCTTACTCCAAACAAATTAATTCTCAATTATTTTTAATTTTTTATAATCAGACCCAGGGTACAGTTGTAATAAAAGAATAATAATGAGAAACAAAATTGAAATACTATAATTTGTTCTTGTATACTGCATAATAAATTATGGAACCATCAATTAAATAATTCATTAATTCTAAGTCATGAAAATTTTGTGTTCAAGAAAAGAAAAGAAAATATTAAAATGTCTGTGTAGGTGTATGTGATCTCCACAACAGAACGCACCTTTGGCTCTTAAAGTACAAAATATGGATAAAAGACTCACCCAGTTTTGGGATCCCCGTCTGTTGACTGCGGCATTGGCATCTCAGGTATATCTGAGATTTTCTGTTGTAGCCCAGAAGGACCAGCTTCGTCGCATGCCAAGGAAACATTTACAAAAGTTGTAGGCTCTATAGTTCTATTATTGGGATCTTCCTCACTTTCTTCTTTTACAGGTAGGCCTGAAAAAAATTTAATTCATAAATGCAGATTTGTATTACAAAAAAACTAAGATATCCAAATGAACATATTTTAACAAGAAAATACAAAAATTATGTAAACTTATAACATACCTTCATCTCCATCACATTCATCATCCGAGTTCTCTTCATCTTCGCTACTTTCTTCTTCATCTTCTTGTTGCGCAGAGCTCGATTGATTCTGTGATATTTGGTTATGTGTGGTTTGTGAACTTGGACCAGGCAATGCCTGAACGGGTTGTACAGAATTACCGCTTGTGTCCATAGGAACTGAGGTTATTTGTTGCTGCTGATTAGCACTGGATATCATCATAGGGATACCCAGGCCCATATTATCCATCATACCCATACCCATATTGTTTTGATGCTCGCCAACTTGCTGCATCACATTGCCATCTAACCTGTTCTCTGAACTCTGTTCTTGTTTCATTACATTCTGAAATTAAATATACAGAACATATTTATTAACTTTAAATATACTGTATCTAATTAAATAGTATTTTGTAACAGTTTCAAATAAATAAATAAAAAAATTAAGCATAGTCATGTACATAACATAACCATAATAAATTACCATGTTACAATATATTGCAAAATGTTAAGATATACTTCAATCATAAAAATTAATTACACAGATAACAGTATAGTTTGATCAAACATCTACACGATGAAAAAACTTACAAAAGTTTGAGGTCTAAAATATTTTTATCACCAGTGCAATGGTAACCAAGTAAACATGTAACTGAATGTCAAGAGAATAAAAGAATATCTACTTTATCATATTTGGATATACACTGTGTAAATATTCATTGTGATCAATTTTATTGTAAATAAAAGAAATATTTTGTACAGAAAACAAAATTACCTGATTGAGAGTATTGGTAACATAACCCTGTTTGTCTTCTAAATTGACTCCTCCTAGCCATTGTAGAAGCTGCTTTTCTGCATTCGCTGTTGTATTCCAAAATTCATAAAATAGCTCTACTTTATACACGCAATCATCACATATCTTTTTGGGTAACTTGTCTTCTCTTGCAACCTGAAATCATACATACATAAAATATTTACTTTGCATTCATATCATTATACATATAAAATATGAGTGCAAAGTTGTATACAAGTTTCATTTAGCTCAAACTTGTAAATAAAATTTTGTTTTAATATTACTGAAGCATGAATGAAGGTAGATTACACATACAATCAAATATAAAATCTATTATCCATTGAGATGTTACGAAACATCTACTACTGAAACAACTTTAAGTTCTAAAATTTGCTTAGAAACTATAATTGAATGCAGAATTAGTGATCTATTATTATTCAAAATTATAAATGAGTGTGTTTGCCATTATATCTGTTTACTTATTTATATTCTTCAAGTAATTTTAATAGAACCCAACAATTTATGTTATTGCAACAACTAAGTATAGTAGATATAATCAATTAATCAAGAATTAAAGTCTTTCAATACATTTATAGACAAAATTGATTCTTTTCAATTACTTCATTGAGTGTTCTGAGAAATCTTTATACATAATATTTAAATAGTATTTAAAAATTTGTTATAGATATATACAAGTTTAATTCTATATTTATATTATATTTCAGGAACTGTTTCCATTTTTCTATTTTATTTCAATCCCTATTTGTGTTTACATATTGAGTTTGCATCTATAAGTTCACAAATAAAATAAATAAATAAATAAATGATGTCGCGAACAAGATGTCGAAAAGAAAGATCATTATTCAATTCCTCGCATTGTAAATAGAGCATTAATATTGCATATGCCAGTTTCCAAAGGCGCAATAGTATAAATTATTCCGCAGAATATTTGGGACGATACGCAATGCCTTAAGGTAGTAAAAAAGCGCGGCAAAATTCTACGAAATAATTGCTGGCGTCGTGGCTGGGTGAAACGAAGGCTTAAGAAAGAGTGAAAAAGGAAGAAAAACAGTGTAACAGTATCGTACATCTACCGCGATATTGCTTCTCTGGAGGTAACCCGTAATTTCTTGTCTATAGGGCGATCTCTGAAATAATCGAGACGAAACGATATCTACTGGGAGGTCGAAAAGTCGTGGACAATGAAGGAAACGCGGTGTAGCTATGAAAATGCACAAGATGGCGGATCGCCATTGTCGAGGCGATGGCGTAGTTGGCTTACCTTGACCGGTAGACAGGCGGCGATTTTGAGAAATATTTGCCGTACGTCTCCTTCACCCTCGAAAATCGGCACCGAAACACGGTCCTTCACGAGACACAGCCGACACAAGTCCAGATAATCGAGGGAGGACATTTTACCATGTAAAACGCCAGCTCGAGACGCAAAACCGCGCCCGTAGACGCGAACGCTGTTTCAATCCAAGCCGGAGAAGACCCCGCGTTCTTCGGTACGCGTCGTTTGCTCACTGCGCTTCGGCTGGCTCCGTCGCTTTCCGACTCGTCTCGGCTCTCATCGGCTAACTTCGGGAATACTCGATAGAACGGTTACGTATCGATCACGTCGTGCTTGAACCCACTTCTTCTATACGCTACAGCTTCGAACGTTGCGAAAATCATTTTATTTTAAGTTTATTATTGTTAAATATAATTCAATCGCTTTACTGCTTTTAAATCATTGTAACATAACCGAAACTTAAACCTCCACGATTTCGATCGTATATTCAAATCAATTTTCCTTCGTCAATGCAATATATATGATGTACTTATAAATCGTAAACGATTGCAAGATGGCCACACGGTCGTCGCTGATTGCATGTTCCTCCCTAAATGATAAAAACACAGTAATTGATGCAAACGTGTCCGTTATGTTTACCTCTGATACGTACCGATTGATCGTTCAGGTGTTTAAGAGGTTGGCCGAGTTAATCCAAACCTATCAAATTTTCATGCACAATTACTCCCACTTCGGGGTTTGGATGCAATCACGCATGACCAAACAGACGAGACACACTTGTCGATGAGCAGTAATCAGACATCAGAACTTCACGAAGAATATGCTGTATCTTCATAATTATTTTCTTTCTTTTCCTTGCATATGTTTCTCAAAAATATTTATTTAGCGTCTCATAGTATTTTTTCTAGGTATAACATTTCTTTATACTCATTAATTTAAGTTATATGTTATATTTATATATTCAGACATAGATCTGTACAGGCAAGATTATCTCCATAAGTATTTTACCTTATGCAAAATCATTTTAGATAAATAATAACATATTAGGATGACTCCATAAATTCTGTGGTACTTCTAAAGACAACTATGCAAAATATGAGCTAAATGTATCAAAAGACCAAAATCAAAGGACGTAGATCCTGTTGGTGATTCGTATCTTTTAAAAATAAAGTCACGATCTATGTGCAATAGGAAATGGTATCGTAAACTTACCCTAAAGCTATAAATGGTCATATTATGTTATTTAGAGAAAATTCGGACCCAATCGTCCTCCATAATAAGTTTGGCAAAGGTCCTATTTTAGCTAAATATCCCCGAAAGTCTGGAGTCTATAGATCGATTATAATTCTGCGGCGCAGCAAGGTCATTAGACTTTCTGCAGTCAAAGTTTATGGAAGCTGACCTTCGGAACAATAGTTCGGAAGACCCGAAACTTCGGTCATGAAACTTTGGCACGAAGGAATTTATACGACAATTCAATAAATTTTCAAATCCTAAATTTCCAAATTAATTTCCCAGAAGCAAAGTTTCCTCGTTATCGTACATTTTAAGGGAGGAGCAAAAAATGACAATTTTTGATAAAAAAAACTGCTTTATTGTGGCAGAGCACATGTATTATCATATACCAGCATATAATTAGGAAGTCCATAGTAATTTACAAATTACGATCCACTTAAACGTCGGTACACGTGGCGGTGTATGCAGGCAGATTTGGGAATCGATTTCGATCGCACTCATGCTGTTATCGTGTCTGTATTCATCGGTTATCATCTTAATCGTTCATCATCTTATGATCACTTTTTGTTTAACATTAATTTTCGTTCGAAGATTCGGTAGGGGAAGGGGGGGCAGGGGGGACCTTCTAAAGATCCTTGTAACGGCGGTGCATTATTTATAATACATGAAAACAAGGGATATGTGGTCTTTCTGTCGTTTTATCGAGAAAAATTTTACCCGTACGAGCCACTGGGACTTTTTATTTTCCGTTCTCCCTCTTTTTTTCTCTCTTCAACGAGGACCTTGTTTCGTATCTTACAAGTACAGTAATCATGATTATCGCAGAGTGACAGTATTTTCCAGGCATTTGTTGGGATCGACAAGATTCTAATTCTTTCGTCAATGTTAAGAATAAATGAAAATTAAACCTAGCTTATGTATAACAAGTTTTCTTTGAAACGCAGTTCGATCAAGAAGCATTCGTTAATCCTCCTATCATGAATTTAATGATCTATTTATATGAACGACATAATCATTTTTTTTAGACACAATTTAATTTCTACGATAAATAATTTAATTCATGAGAAAGAAAGTCTATACAATAAATTGATGTTCTTGTTAAATATAAAATGTTCTCGATAAAATGATTACGTGATCATTGAAATTATAAGATAATACGTTAATAGGAGGATTAATCGAAACAAAAGATAATTGTAAACTATATATTGTTGCTCCTTTCGTTTTTACGATCTTGTTCTCTCGCAGTTTGTCTCTCGTTGTCGATAAAACCGCGATAAAACAGTATTATTTCGATGCTCATATACGAGTTAATTAATTAGATGTTAATTAATTTGTTAAATTCGTAACTATTTACTTATAGCTTATGCTATAACAATAATAGCAAAATTGCATGAATATGTGTCTAGAGATTTTTTTTCTCCTTTAATCTCACATACTTCACCGAATTTGTCGTAATGTAAATTTACAGCTATTACAAATATTATTGTTTATACTCGTGTAAGGTAACATTAATGGTAATCATCGTGTTCGTTATCTACTAATACAAAGTTAAAAATGCGGGAAGTTGAAATTTTTCGCGGGTTTACCGCACAGATCATGTTCGTATGGACAGTGCCGTCGTTAGTGTTCAAGTGGGCCTCGGGACTCAGTTTTCGAATGTTTTAATTTAGAAATTTAGGTCTCATTTTTTTAGGAATTTTTAGCTTTGCAGGTTTTTGGAGAAATGGAGCATTAAGTTTATAAGTATACTTTAGGGAAAATTTGGGGAAAATTTAGAGGTTGTGCAAATTTGGAAATTTAGGGATTTGAAAACTTAGGAATTAGGGGATTTGAAAATTTGGAAATTTAGGGGTTTGAAAATGTGGAAAATTAGGGATTTGAAAATTTGGAAATTTAGGGATCTGAAAATTTGGGAATTTAGGGATTTGAAAGTTTGGAAATTTAGGGATCTGAAAATTTGGGAATTTAGGGATTTGAAAACTTGGGAATTTGGGGATCTGAAAATTTGGAAATTTAGGAGTTTGAAAATGTGGAAAATTAGGGATTTGAAAATTTGGAAATTTAGGGATCTGAAAATTTGGGAATTTAAGGACTTGAAAATTTGGGAATTTGAAGACCTAAAATTTTGGGAATTTAGGGATTTGAAAACTTGGGAATTTGGGGACCTGAAAATTTGGAAATTTAGGGGTTTGAAAATTTGGAAATTTGGGGATCTGAAAATTTGGGAATGTGGGGATCTGAAAATTTGGGAATTTGGGGACTTGAAAATTTGGGAATTTGAAGACCCAAAAATTTGGGAATTTAGGGATCTAAAAATTTGGGAATTCAAGAACTTGAAAATTTGGGAGTTTCAGGACCTAAAAATTTGAGGATTTGAAGCATTCAAAAATTTGAGTAATTACAAACTTGTAATGTGAGAATTAGAAAATTTGTAAATCTTGTAATTGAACAAAATTTCCACTAGCCAAAATAATTTTTGCGAGGCCCTGCGAATTCTAGCAACGGCACTGTCTACTATACACCTCAAAATTCCGCCTCAAATTTTTTCCATCGAAAAATCGAAATTAGCAGAACGTGTCACAATAATCTCAAATCAACCTCTGAAAAATGTCATCTCTCTACACAAAGCAACATAACCTAAAACTTACACTGAAACAAAAACTATAAAAAAGTAACCCTACGTGTAACAATATCTACAATATCTAAAAATGATATCATATGGCACGTTCTAATAATTTAATTTTCAGTCACAAATTAGAAAGGCCAATGTAAACAATTATTCAGCCAATCGTATTCACCAGTCGAATACGGAGTGAAAATTCTTGCTCAATTTTTCAATGATGTCTGCAATTATTATCCCTTAATGTACTCAAATACTTGTTTGCTAATCGTTTCACGCTTATTCAACATTAAATATCGAATAACTGGAATGATTTTGAAAATTTCGATTAATTTACCTACATACGTTACGTTAAAGAGGTATAAACGAAAATGTTTTTTGAGCCCTTACGTGTCAATAGACGTCAGACAGCTTGCAAAAATTTTTCACCCGTTTTCTCTCTATAATATTAGGGATCAGAACGGCTGACTTTTTAAACCGACGTTTTTTTCTTTTTTTTCGTTTTCTTCATTTTTTTATCTTAATGTCGACTCGCTTATCCAGCAATACTGGGTACTAATTAAGCTAGCGTTGGTCGAAGATCGTTGACAATTTATGCATATACATATATATATAGTTTCACACCATATCGATAAGACCTCGTTTTAACAAGCTAAAATTATCAAACAGTGACGGGAGAAGGATGAAAGGGAAACGCAATTTTTTTCTATGCGAAAGAAGCGTATTATGTCTGACTTCGATCACATAATCTCCTTTGCACGTTGCAATATGTACGTTTCGCAAGTTATTTTTGATAATTCGAAATTGGTAACTATTATTTAGGTGTGCAATAGAACCTCTGTTATTTGATGTAATTATGTATGCGAAGGATTAATAATACTGATTTGGGTTATTACTGTGATCTGTGTGAAAAATTATGGTTATTGGAACTTTTAAGATGGGAACTTTTGGGGGATTTAGGGTTCTGATGTGGAAGTTTGGAAGTTTTGGAATTTGAGGGGTCGAGATTTTGGGAAGTTGGAAATTTAGGAATTTTGAGAGATTTTAGGGATTTTGGAAATATGGGGATTTTAGAATGTAGGAATTTGCGAATTTGGGGATTTAAGAGTGTAGGAATTTGGAAATTTGGGGATTTAAGAGTGTAGGAATTTGGAGATTTGGCGTTTTAAGAGTGTAGGAATTTGGAGATTTGGCGTTTTAGAAATTTGGGGATTTAAGAGTGTAGGAATTTGGGAATTTGGGATTTTGGAAATTGGGGGATTTAAGAGTGTAGGAATTTGGGAATTTGGGGTTTCAGAAATTTGGGGATTTAAGAGTGTAGGAATTTGGAGATTTGGCGTTTTAGAAATTTGGAGATTTGGCGTTTTAGAAATTTGGGAATTTGAGATTTTGGAAATTGGGGGATTTAAGAGTGTAGGAATTTGGAGATTTGGCGTTTTAGAAATTGGGGGATTTAGGAGTGTAGGAATTTGGAGATTTGGGGTTTTAGAAATTTGAGGATTTAAGAGTGTAGGAATTTGGGAATTTGGGGTTTTGGAAATTTGGGGATTTAAGAGTGTAG